GTGCCGACAAAATTGTCAACAAGTTTAACCATTTAGCAACAGACAGAGACGCAAATAGATAAAAAAGTGCTGTTTCTTATAAGCATTTATTATAAGTTTGCGAAATATCATATATTGGATATTACGTATAACCATCCATTTAAATTGGAATAAGATGTAATGTTGATTTTTATTGTGTTTTAAAAACATGTTACCTTTAACTTAATTTTTAAAAGTTTGCTAAGTGTTCGACGCGTTTAACAAAATATTTTAAGCTCCTCTGAACTTAGTTTATCTTAACATTTTAAGGATGTAAACATAGCCCAAGGAAAAAATGAAATACAGCGAGGAAAGAGGGGAATGTTATTATTATTATTATTTTGGGTGACACACTAGCAGCTAGTTAGCTGATGCGTGTGGTAACTTAGTTTAGTTTTATAATAAGTAGAAGTCAGTATTTATCTCGTTTATTGGTAAAAATGTGTGGTCATAAAATAAAACTGTACCTATATATGTATTTTTAAAATGAAACCTGGTCATATGTTTATCGCCAAAGTTAAATAATTTTATAGTATAAACAAACTTTAATCTAAGTTTAAACAACTTAAGCCGTTGAAAATTATACGGAGGCTCATTGAATACGGCGGCTCGGTAAGTTAGAGCTAAGTTAAAACTAAGTTAAGGTTTGTTATGCAAATATTCACCACTTCGGTGACTATTGGAACTTAGCATCGCTTCTTATAAAACTGTATTGTAAAGATGCTGGTTTAATAATAATAAGAAAATAAAGTTACGTTTTAAATATAGCTTTGATTCAATATCTAGTTTCCTTTATATATCATAAGTTGGCAAACTAGCAAGTGACCAACTGAATCCAAAATGGCGAATCGACCGCTACCTATAGAATAGACATCCACAATTGCAGATGCGTTGCTTACTCATATTGCCGGAGGAGACGCACGTCAAGAGGAAATTTTGGATTATTCCCAACCGTCACCCTGCACTGTCCCCACGTGGAAACAGATGAGAATAAAAAGCTTCATCCGTCCCACCTTTTGCGACGAGGGGGCGGTTGGAACTTGTTTTATTTCACAATGGTTCCATCTGTCATCTTATTGCTAATAGTGGGACTAAAAGGTGGGACGGATGAAAATTTTTATTGTCACATAGGGACAGAACGGGGTGGCGGTTGGGATTAAACCGAAATTTTCCATTCCTATGCTACTCCTCTACCGTCAAATCCCTCAAAGTGTTTCCTCCCATCCTTTCCTTATAAGAAAAGGGTGGAAAGGGGAAAGAACTAAAAGTATATTTTTGTGGTAAAACATCTAATGTTTACGTGTAATTTAAAAACTTAAGTTATAATAACATTAGATGGCTATCTCAGCAAACCCCAAGGTTCGTATTTCGTAGAAAACAACAAACGAAGCCGAATGTTGATATCAAAGGTACCGCTTCGTCAGACAACTTAAATTACTTATAATAAACATATTTTACTTAATATATTCTTTCTATATAATCTTCTATACATAGCATAAATCTTAATACTAATGTACCATTTATTATAATCAACTGGTCAACAAGCGCATTAAAAGAGCGCGCAGACCTTTGACTAAATTATCGCGTAACTGTTCTGTCCCCCTTTGATTCCTATGAGCTTATGGAGGTGCACACTACTCGATTTTTAGTTGTGCAACTAAACAGTTGAATTCGCTGCGAAACAATCGACAATCGCACAACACTTATACGATAATGGGTAGTGTTCTCTTCCCTATTCCAACGAATTCAGGTGCTGGCGTGCTCGTTTGCCGTCTGAGCTGCTCATATTTTTTTTTTTATAACATAAGTTGGCAAACGAGCAAGCGGCCACCTGAATCCGCCAAAGTGGCGAAGCGACCGCTGCCCATAGACATCCGTAATTGCAGATGCGTTGCCTACCCTTATCCGACAGAGGAGATGCACATAAAGCGGATATCTCCCCTTGCATCTCCTCCTCTGTCAAATCCACTTCCTCTTCCCATCCTCTTCTTATAAGAAAAGGGTGGTAAAGAGAAAGGAACTTAAATTAGGCCTCCCGCACCACACTCATCAGACGAAACACGGAATTGCTTCCATTTCACGCCTGTCTTCTGTGTGGTCATGGTATTACACCGATCGTACCGGCCCATTCGTGCTAAGATGTTAAAGCGGGCACTACCACTGTAGAAGTTTACTGTACTGTACACTGTACACTTTATATTCTAAAGCTCTCTACAGATTGTCAGTTTTAAATGAACAGGCGAAATTTTGAGTAATTTTTTTTTCTAAACAAGCAATTTAAATCAACATTTCGACTCATCAGTTGAAAGTCTGTAGCTGGTCTGAACGTCTGTAGCTCGATTTATGTTTTACAAGTTTTAAGAAAATGTAAGAAATCCTACTTCATTTACGAATGATAATAAAAATGGAACAATAGCGGAATATTTAAAGAAGTTAATTTATACGACAGCTGAAAATATCATTGCAAGTGCAGAGCTGAGAGGATTTGGTTTTATCTTTGAACTTTAAAGACAGGACTAGACCAATTTATAAGTATTGAACTTGTTTGCTTGTGTTCTATTGCTATGTAAACGTAAATACGTTTTTATTTTAAGCCAGTGTTAGATAATATGTGTGATTTTTTCTGTACATCACATCCCACGGCGGCTTTGTCTAGTCCGTTTCTCTATACTCAAAGGGTTTTATGCTGAGCGTCGAGAATTGTTACGAGAGTTTTACAACCGTTTACATTGTCACTTTTATTACGACCCACAATTTTGTTAGTTGCGAAGCTTTGGTTATATATTTTAACATTTTGAATCCCTTCAGTTACTTATGTTTAACATTAATTTGAATTTAGAGAACTTGGAGCTTTTAGAAGAAAACAAATTCTATTAAAATGTTTACGTTTGTCAGATTGTAAGCACTTATGAAGCAAAGTGTTTAACAAACGAGAACAACTAAAGAACGACTTCAGTAATCATTCTGATGGACGGTCTCTAAACTAACTTTTAAATATTCATTCGCGTTTTTGATCCGGTCACGTCATATAATGTGTTTTCGAAATACATAACTTGAGTTAGTCCGTTAAAACTTAGTCCTAACACTAAGCAATGACTGGGTAATGATAAAAAATGGAATCTTTTGCAACCCAGCATGAATCTGACAGTTTAACATACATAAACATGATTTACATGCTTATAAAATCCGAATAATATAGTTGAAAAGGCGTTTTTTTGAAAGCCATGACAAATCTAGTAACACTATACTGACATAAAGGCATTTAAGTAAGTCATATCGTAGCAGTGTAGCGTGGTCAGTACAACAATGGCTAACGGTTGTACCCACTGAAATGTACCGGCCGACCGTGACCGTACTAGGGATGTCTGTATAATCTATTGATATAAGCTGACTGTTCATTACATTTTGAACATGTAATTTTTATTGTCTGTGCAATCTTAGTAATTTAAGATTTTTGTATCATGGCAACACTTTTGTATTAATTCACTTCCTTTTCCAACACGTTGCTTCTTGTCTAAACTAAAAATGTAGTGTATCTAACTTTCATGGTATATAATTTCATTATTAGAAATAAATATCTAAAATATAAAACTTTCCTTTCATTTTATGGAAACCGACCAATTTATTTTTTATAGTTACAAAATAATAGAAATGGAAGTAGTAGTGGGGGGTAGTTTCATAAAAGTCCTTGCAAGGAGTGAGGCGTTCTTTAATCAGTTGCACTCAGTCGCTTAGTCGCTAACAAGCTCTCTACCCGTCAGTACCTTCAGAAGCTCAGTAGCTCAGTACATTTCTAGTCGTCACCACGGAACGTTCGGTATCTTTTACGTAGTTGCCTAAGTGTATTCGTTTTATAATAATTCACCAGTATTGCTCATATTACCGTTCGACTATCATATTTTTTTAAAAAGTCATTCGTATCGAAATTTACAACAATATAATATACTAGTAACAAAAACAAGGTATTTTAACCAACTTGTACATTTTACATTTTACGTTAGAATTAAAATTTTAGCTAGATTTTTTTTGAGAGTGTATAGTTTTAATTAAGTTTTAGTTGATATTACATCTATTCTTATGTTAAGTTTTTGCGATGAAAATAGTGTAACTGTATATAGCAATAGAACATCAGAAGTTTGTCCATAATAAAATTTATCGATACAACACGGCACATCCCTATCGTGCACAACTCCCACGATGTCGTGATCTATACCAGTTCTAGTTCGGGCGATGCATATTTTTGTGTTCCATAAATGGATCAATACAGAGGAAGTACGTTTATGGAATTTACTAAACAGTTCACCAGACAACAGTTTGTAAATTAATATTTAGTTAGTTTTAAATGTTTAAAGAAGTGTACTATTACAATAAATAATATTGGTAGATTTGTTGTTAAGCAAGTTACTTGATGCAGTATTTAATCGATAACCAACATCGATATCGATCTACGAATAGATAACTACACAACACAAGCGTAGCGTAAACGAAACTGTATAAAACATATTGTCTCAGTTACCTCCAAGAAGACAGACAGAGACGACTATATTTTTGTTTGTTTTGTATAAATTGATGTTTCGATCACCAGCTCACTATACGTCCCCACCGAGGGGCTCGGAGCCTACCCTAATATGGGGTGACTAGGCCATAGTCAACCACGCTGGACAAGAGCGGTTTGGTTGACTTCACACATATCTTTGATTTTCTTCGCCGATATGTGCAGGCATCACGATGTTTTCCTTCACCGTAAGAACGTCGGGTAATTTATAATATGTACATATGAAAATTCGAAAAATCGAAAATCACATTGGTACAGCGGGAATCGAATCCAAGACCTGTAGATTATAAGTCAAGTGTTCAAACCACTGAGCCACTAACGCTCTTAATGTTGATTAAAATTTAAACGCTTAAAATTGATGTTTAGGAGCATTTAAACCACAAAAAGAGTGTGCTTATTCCTTCAGATTACTCTAATTAGTACTAACCTGATATTTCCTAATAGATTCAATTTGGTCCCTTGTGACGTCGAGCGCGGGTGGTCGTGGAGGGGCGTCTCTTGTTGCCTCTCGGGGCGGCACTGCCGGAGCACCCGCCCCTAACACTGGTACCCCAGCTACCGCACGTGCAGTGCCGTTTACCTGCTGAAGTAAGATTAATGTGAGACATAAGATAGAAGAATCCCTTGCTTGGATGACTAGATTGTTACTGTATAACTGTATTATCGGCCTGAACTATTCAGTGCTAAATACAGGATACTAAAAAGTTATTACAAGTAAATTAGCATCACAAACTATTTTTCTTCTGATTTTATGATTATGTAAATAACTCTAACTAAACCATTCACATAAATAGTACATTAAATTTCAGAATTAACAATAGTTACATCAATGCAATTCCAAAAATGATAATTCCTAAGTTGAAATATATTATTCAAATACACCGATAGATGGCGCTGTTTTAAAATTCATTGAACAATTTAAGATTAAGTAACAAAAGTACTTTTTAAAACAGTAAATGTATACGATTTTCAATTACGAGAAAGTGTTCATTTTTATACATCAAAAATCACAACCATATCGTTACCAAATATATTTTTTTAAAATACGTATCTTATGCTATCTAAAATCATTTTGTTACACTCAACACAATTACTAGTATAATTTCCACTGCTAATACAACAGAACAAACATTCTCTCTATATGTAAAAAGAATAACAATGTTGTTATACTGTATGAACAGTGAAAACCCACGAATATATAAAAAACATGCTTAATCTAAACCCGATAGACTACTGTTATATTTTATATATACCTTTTTACCATTACAATTATACCCATTATCAGACGCATGCAGCCAAATAACAATAACTTGTTACTTCCAGTATCCCATCTTATATAGTTTAATGGCGTAACATCTATTATGGGCGTCGCCAGCCCATAGACAAGGGGGAAATGATCAAGGGGATGGCCAAGGAGGAGAATAAATAAGAGGAGGAGATTAGTAGTATAGTTTTTTTACCAGAATGCTTCAATGAAAAACTAGTAAGTCGTTTTTGAGCTATCTACGTGGGTCTAGGGTATGTAGGAAAGTTAATGTTTTACAATAAGCTCTCTAAAGAGGGGAGCTGTCCCCCTGTCCCGTTCTACGCCCATATCTATCATTCATTTATATATTTCATAAATAGAATACACATAAAATACGATTTTAAATTTTATAAAAAAATTAGGTCCCATCGATATATTTTAGTATGAAAAGATTGTTCCTGAAAAAAATGTTATAGAAATTATAAATATTATAGAAGCACCTGAAATAAAAGAGATATTATTAAATACGTTAATATAAAAACTAATTATGGTAAAGTACATACATATCTCATAGGAATTTATATATGAAAGTATATTTCAAGATATTTATGGTTAACTAGTCGGCTGCGACTACAAACGAACGGAATTTAAAAAAAAATATTTTATTAGTAGCCTGTGTTCTTTCAACTTGTTATAAATCTGTGCAGATTTCACTGGTATCCGTTGAGCCGTTCTGGATATACGTAATAACATCCATCCATCCATCAATACCTTCGCAATTATTATTAGTAAGAAGTAAACTGGTCTTTCTAAATAGACATTACTAAAAATATATTTTTAGTATTTGTCCAAACCTACGTCCTGTACTAAATAACAACTAATTACTAATTAGTGGTTTTTACATGTGTACAAATTATTTTTATATGAGCATGTAATATAATTTAGTACCATCAGCAAATTAGGACCCTCTGTTAGGTTACAGATGTGATAATAATGTAGTTTATGTCTCGCCATATGTTGCAAATGTTTTATGCAGACCGTACATTGCGGTAGATAATACAAGGGCAATTAAACTGCAATTAACTTAATGTTTAGTTACCAGACTTCTGTTAAAACAACTTGTTTTATTTATGTGATTATCTCTATTTACTAGTTGTTGCTCGTGACTGTTCGCGTGAAGTTAAAATATAGTGTAAAACATAATCTATGTTACTGATAACGCAGCCTTGTAATAGTGAAATAATTTTTGTAATCGGTCCAGTAGTTTTTGAGTAATTCCAATACATACAAAAATACAAATCTTTTTTTAATAATAGGTATAGATTTTTATTAAACTACGTAAACTGGGAAGGAAATTTAAAAAATATATGAAAACATCTGTTATTATCGATCTCTATTATTGTTTGTTAATCTAAGATACAAAAGTCAAACCAAAATGCTTTAACTGATAAAATATTTAAACCTCCTTACAGATGTTAAGTTTTAACTCAATGTTCAGTTAAAACTGTCAGTTGGAATTGAACGTATGTATAAAATATATTGACATAGTATGTCTTATGCTCTCCGAGATATTTTTATGGACTCTGCGAAGTAAACACGCGTATCTATACTCTATACTTATTATAATAAAGCGTAAACACACACTTCTTTGTTGCCTAAGATGTCAGCAATTACAGCAGATTTTTGAATAACATTTTTTTAAATAAAAAGCCCTACGCTTACGTCACGCTTTAGGCTATATATTTTCACGCTCTTAAACTTAGGGGGTAAATATTTTGGATAAAAACCCTAATGTGGGAAAGAGACCATAAGTCGCTGCCAACATCAAGGAAGCAAGATTGCCAAGGTTTATCATGTCATGTCATTTTGACATTTGCTATTGACAATTTGACAAATGTGAATAATAAAATGAAATTTTCATAATTACATGCGGATGAAGCCGCACGAGAACAGCTAGTATTATGATAAACTTACCTAACAAATGTTTAAGGTAATGATTGCAAAAATAATAACCAGGTATCAAGCGACCGTCAATATTGATGGGGTTTTTCCATACGGCAGAATAATAACATAATTGCGAGATACCAACATAAGATTCTTTATAACGTTTAGTCCACGAGGATTAAAAATGAAAAAAAAAGTAAACA